GGGGGGGGGAGAAAGGGGGAGAAAGGGGGGGAAGGGATAGGTTATCGCCAGTATGTACTAGTCAGGGGTGCCATGGTCGAGCCTGGGTACAGCTAGCATGTTTCCCGTCACTATGGCACCCACACGAGAATCCACATGGAGCTACCTTAGACTACGGTAGGGCCCATCTCGGGGCACACACTGGATGTTAGTATGGGGTAGGTACTGGGTACTTCTCATCCCAAGGTATCTCACGATGCCTGCGGGTGGTGCTTAATCCAGGTTGGGGTCTCTGGGAATTCTCATTGGGGAATTAGTCAGGACTGTGGATTCTTGGTGAAGCCTGGGGTAGGAAGGAATCATCCTCAGGATAGGGGAGGGCGGGATATCGCATCTTAGTGGAAGGGCAGTTCGCTGCCCATAGAGTCTGTGGGACGAGGCACAGATGAGGGATGACTGCATATGCATGGCCCCCACCTGTGCCCAGGTCGCCGTTAACATTAGAGTTATGGGAGGGTAGTGTCTGCGCGAAGATGTTCGGGTTAGTCCGGTAAGCGTTGGTGCAGATCACGACTTGCGTTCTGATGAGCATTAGCATAGGTCATGGTACCATCATGGTGCCATCCTGAGGTGACTCCCCCTGGGTCCTCGTAATCCATCTGGCGTTGGTGCAGATCACGACTTGCGTTCTGAGCATTAGCATAGGTCCATGGTACCATGGTGCCATCCTGAGGTGACTCCCCCTGGGTCCTCGTAATCCATCTGACCTCCCAATGGATGAGCACTACCGACACCTCCTGAGGCCTGGTCACCACCCTCTACTACACCCTGGACCTTGTTAAAAAAAGGGGAAAAAAAAATCTGAACAACTTTTGCCTCACGGTCACATCGAAATTCCTTACCAAATTTTAAATAGAAAATAAAGTTAAAAGTTGAAAAATAATTCTTGTATTTTTATTTATTTGTTGCTTTTTTTTGGCCCGGCCGGGCAAGTGGTCCTGGGCCACTCTGGTAGCCTAGGAGCTCGGCTATACCAAGGTCACCATTTCATGTCCTCTCCCAATTTGGTCGCCATACAATGCCATTATTGGCCGTGCACCCCAACTGTCACCTTCCCCTGCCTCTCCCTTTTCTCCTAGTTCATGAACTTTCTATCCCTTCTCCCACCAAACCTATTGCCTCTGGTTCCACTTCTGGAATTGTCTTTTGCAAGATTAGTGGTAGGAGCTCCCCTGGTCCTCCCTTTTGTTCCAGGAATGGCAGTGATCATACCTTCAGTTTTTCCAAATTACGAGTTTGGTAGTGATTATGAGAGCTTTGCATCGTATTGACCACAGGTGCTTCTCTGGCCTTGGAATGATGGATTCCGTAATCCTGGTTTAAATGGAACTGACGCCGAAGGTGTCCGGATCACTTTTTCAGTAGTGCAATTAGGTATTGTTTGAGAGGTAAGAGGAATTTTGTGGAAATGATTAGCAGAACTGTACAGTGGTGAGGAGAAGAGAGCCTAGTTTTAGGTGATTTGATCTGTGGAAGTTTTTTTTTTCAACGAGGTGGAGACCGTGGAGTTGCGCGTTAAAGGGACCAGGGCCCAGCCCACTGACCCTACGGGGTTTTTGAAATGGGTGCAGTCCCTGCAGGGTGAAATGAGATGCACGGGTATGATCCGCAGTTTGGCCTAGACTAATTTTTTGGACCGTCGGTAGGACTGTGGTTGACATAGGTCACACTGGGATTGGACCCATAGTCCGATGACCCAGGAAAATGGCCTGGCCAACCCAATTTTTTTTTCAAATTTCTTCACATCAGGGTCCAACCGGACCCTCCAAACCGGACACCGGACCTGGACACCGGACACCGGACTTCCTGGATCGGGATCCGGATGTCCGGTTGGCAACCATGGTATTTGGTTGGTTCAGGTTTTGGCACGTTTTTGCGTCCGGTGACTCATGACTGTACAGAGAAGCCTCCGGTTGCAACAATTTTTTTTTTCTTCGGGTAAGAGGGTTTGTGAATGATTGCAGGCTGTAGTAACATCGGTATTGTCGACGGTAGTAGGTGTATGCAAGGAAATGAGCAATGCGAATGACAATCAAGTTGAATCAACCAGATTGTAACATTCCACAGAGAACCAGATAACTTCGATCCTTACTGAAAGTAGAACTGCACGGCGAAATCACACCAAAACTGGCCAAATAATTCAATGGTGTGTGTGCAAAATCACACCAAAAATGGGACCAAATTAGATTGAACAAGCATTGAAGTCACATGATAATGAAAGCCCCTTCTTACCTCCTATCACTGACCAGACTGCGGACAGACGCTCCCTAGGCCTATTAGACTCCTAATTGCTACAACAGGGCCGCGTTGAAGATCATCAGTTTGATGGCGCACAAAGACTCTCAGTGAACAGCCTGTTCGTTAACACCAGGTGAGTGCCTCGTCACATCGCTCAGTCCCCGTCTGACCCAACCACTGTCCGGTCACGCCCAAGGACCACCGCTATCCCCTCTTGGTCTGCATGTCGCTGCCCAGCTATGGCTGCCGCGAGCGCCGTGCTGCTCTGCCATGCAGCTTCTCCCTCCTGTGGCCTGGCGCTCATCCAGCATGTGCTCCAGCAGCATGACCGCATCCAGCCAGCCCGAATGCCTCAAGTGAGTGAGCTTCCCTTCCTTTTGTGCCGGCTGCGAGGCTCCTGGCTGGATGGACTGGCCCGCGCCCTGTCCCAGTACCTGCGCCATGCGCCCCTTCCAGAATCTGCACGGGGCTCAAGTGTATGTGCCCTGGGCCTCAGCATCTTGAACCAGCTAGGGGTTGCGCCCTACCAATTGGTTGAAGACGCTACTTGCAGCAACCGACCCACTGGGCCCCATTTTCTGCCCTCGCTGGGGTGAAGTAAGGCCAAGGCCAAAATTTGCAGGCCCTCTGTGCCGTGGGCCTCTATCCTCACATATAAATGACGGTTTGCCGTTGTCGGGCCAGGGAGGTATCCACTACGGCTCAATGTGGCCACTCCTCTTTTGCCGCCAAGCAGGACTCGATTCGTAAGCCTGCCTCCCACTTCTCGGAAACACGCACTTTCAGTCAGAATAAGGCCAGGTATATCGGTGTGAATGCACTAAAGGATCGAGGTGTCGCATAGCGGCTTTCCTACCGCCCAGTACCGCCCAGCGAGGCGGCACAATTCTCTCTCCCTCTCTCTCCTCTCTGTCTCACTCTCTTTCTCTCTCTCTCTCTCTCTCTCTCTTGGCAGTGTCGAGCTCTCTCTCTCTCTCTCTCTCTCTCTCTCTCTCTCTCTCTCTCTCTCTCTCTCTCTCTCTCTCTCTCTCTCTCTCTCTCCCCGCTTACCAACTCATTTTATTCCCTCCAAGACACCCTCTCTCTCTCACTCTCCGCGCCAACGAACTGATTTTATTCGCTTCCTGACTGAGACATTAAGACACGAGCTGCTGTTCGATCGTTATGCCCAGTTATGGCGTGATTGAGCTGGACTAGCACGGGCCTGCTCCAAATGCGGAACAGCCTCATGCTAGTGTAGCGCAACCATAGCCTAATGCAGCCTGATGTTCAAGAACTGCCGATGGACAGCCGCAGACCGCTATCATCAATCAATTAGTCTCATTGAGAACATGGTGACTACCTCCCTTTACATACGAAAAACCAGCTTCATGCTTCAACAATTCACCCATCACCAATTTGCCGAAAGCATATACTACCTTTGCTCCTTCCCATGCCCGTGTCGGATACGGGCACCAGTTTGCAGGCCAGCGACTGTACCTTTCAGCATTCGGTGAAAAGACCTTCTTCTTGATAGCGTTCTCACTCACAGCAGTTCCCAGGCAGCTGTTACTTAACCATGGCTTCAAACACCAAGGTTAGCCATGGCTTCAAACCCCGGGGTCGCACGTACGCTTATCCAAATGGACTTCTCCCTCCACACGAAAGCAGCTGAAAATTCGAAATGACACCAAGCGCCTAGATTAACTCAGTTCACAGCAGCTCCGGGACTGACTGTGGCTTACCGCTGTTTGTACTAAAAGCGTACAAGACAGGAACTAGCGCGCGGTCAACCAACCGAAGTGCACTATTGAGACCGGAACAAACTCAACTCCCAASTTGATTCATAGACAGCCAAGGGGACTGCAARACCAACCTTGTCACATTTTCAACACAAAAACTAGTTTCCAAGCTACGAGAGAGTTGGACCGGCACATTGTGTCTACCTAAAATCACTGGGTCCTGCCTGAGGTCGCAGGACTTCGTCGAGGAAGAAAACTGCCACAGACTGCGCGATGATGTTCAAATCCCCAAGAACAGCAGCACGATGAAAGTTCCGCGAGGATTCTGTTGATCACCATGCTCTGAGACTCTCTCATTTCTTGACAGTAAACACCTTGAACTTGACGACAGAAACTGACGGTTCCATATGCTCTTCCATTCGAGTTCAGATGCTTGCGAGATGACATGACGTGGTCTCGTAGTGCAAGACGACATGGGTTGGTCTAAGGCAGTGCAGCCGGTCCGCTGGCATCAGAGAAGCAGCTTTTGAAACTCAGGTCAAGGTGATAAGTGCACCTGCGCCTAGTTAAAAGAGAAAACTCTAAATCCCATTTGCAATCTTGCATGCATGTGAAACCCATATTTCCTCCACATGTCCGACACCTCTCTCTCTCTCTCTCTCTCTCTCTCTCTCTCTCTCTCTCTCTCTCTCTGTGACTGCTATGCCCCGCGGGTGCCCTGCTGCTCTTGCTCCTACAAGCTCGATCTCAGG